AAGTGTTCTGGAATTCCCGTTCCTCTCAGAGTCAGCCACAGGTTGTTGTGACCCACGCCTCTGCATAATCAATGAGACACAGATAGACATTCCTCTAATACTCTCTTCTTTCAGCCAAGGTCCATCTAACATTAGCTAAAAATGGATAAGATAGAGGGTCAGAAAAGAGGGGAAGACTCCTGAGGCGAAGGGCTGACACCGCAGCTCCATCGACGGGCTCCGCGCTGCAGTGTGACAATGGCGCAGGATCAGGCTTTGTTATTAACGGCCGAGCTGGGATTTTTTTTTTTTTGGAGCCCCGAGCTGGGATTTGAACCCGGGTCTCTGGGAAGCATGTGCTGCTTTCTCAGCTGCGATGGTACTTCACTTCTCAGGAATCTCGCTAGTGTAGCCCTTCGTACAGTGGGACCATTGTAAGAAAGGGGGCCCGAGGAGGACCGTGCGGGTCAGTGAGGAGCAGAAGACAAGCCGTGCCAGCAGGAACTGGGGGCTCAGGGCGGCTTGAGCTCTGGACGGTGGCTCAGCGGGAGAATTCTCGCCCTGCCTGGGAGACACCCAGGTCCAGTTTCTGGCCAGTTGCACCTCACGCGTAGTCACCACCCATCTGTAACGAGGCTGGATGTTGCTAAGATGTTAACCAGGTTTCAGCAGGACTTCCAGACCAAAGTAGGAAGAAAGGTCTGGTAATCTACTGCCGAAAATCAGACCATGCAAACCCCATGGAAGGCAAGTCAGGAGAAGGAACAGAAAACGAAATGTGTGACCACTGCCTCTGAGGACAACTGCAGAGACCAGATGAAACAGACGCTGCCTGCCCACCACTACTGAACATCTTGAGAAAGTTTGTTCCAAAGAATCCTGACCAAAAGGGGGGACATGGTGGACAGAATCTAAAGTTCTCAAGAGAATCCAGAATTTCTGTAGCCAGGGAGGCTAAGTGGACTCCTAAAACTACTATCCTGAAATAATCTAGAAATTTTAAACAAAAAAAAAATATCCCCTAAAGTGTTCTTAAAGGTCAAACAACAGGCGAACATAATTACCAGGGAAGATTTTTACCTGTTATTTCCAGGGCTGCTACGAGTCAGAGCTGACTTGCTGGCACACAACAACGACGATGACAACATTAAAGAATGCCTGCCCTGAGCACTGTGAACGTTTACGATCTCTCTAGGTTTGACCTGGCAACGGCAACTCTTAAGACTAGATAGGAAACCGGGGTGGGGGGGGAATATCTTAGGAGAAGGACACTTCTGACAAGGAGGGACAGAAGGTGTACACCTTAAAGAGGATCGCTGAACGGAGAAAGGGTTGGGCAGAAGCGGATTCTGCTGGGTACATTCTCAGCAACAAAATCCACAAAGTCACAACCAGAATACTTCCGGTTCACAATGATGTGCTCCACACGTTACTGTGGAGATGGTGCGGGACCACCGCGCGTGGAGTCGTCACAAGTTGGGGGCCAGCCTGCAGTCTGCAAACAGCAAGCAATACGGATCAGTTCTATTTTGGGAACAGGAGACGGACGAACTAATCAAACCCTCACGGCAACCCTACAAGATAAGCAGGAGAGGAACTAACTCCCCATTCTGCAGATGGAAAAACGGAGGGATGGAGAAAAGTAGGGTCACCTGGAAGCTTCACCAGCCGGATATGAATGCAGGCAGCCTGGCCGCAGAGTCCCTGGGCCCTAAGCATGGGCTGTGCTGTGGGGGTGAACCCCAGGGGCTGGACAAGAGAGCCGTGCTCCTGACCCTGGGGGTACATGGGGGCACAGACGTGCTGGACAGTTCATGAGTGTCTGGGGCGCCCTCCTCACAGAAACACAAGCCGGCAGGCCCTCAAGCCCACCGTCCTGTGGACGTCACAGGTGCCCGCCTGCCAGACAGATGAGATTCAAGCAGAAGTGGACTTTTGGATGAGAAACATCGCAGTGATGGGGACCTCAAAGAAGTGAAGCTGGAGAAGGCGCTCAGGTGACAACTAAGGGAGACCCCTGGGGGCCTGATGCCTCTACAGAGCAGTAACAAAATCCCCGGGAAAGTGTGGAATAGAACCGCATTCGTGCATGGAAGCCAGACTCCCTGGATCCACTGGGGTGCACGAAGCACCAAATCTAACCTCTGGAAGTAATCTCAGACCTTGAACCAAAACGATCCCATGAAGACAGTATTGCACTAAAAAACCATTCAGTCCAACTAACAATGAAAATCTGCCGTCTTACAAACACAGCAGTCTTACAAAGAATTTTCCATGCATGTGAAAACGGTAATAGTTCATCTACTGCACAGAAAAGAACTCTTGGGTGAGAGCGTCTGAACTTCCGCTGGAGGAACCATAGAAATGGGCAGCGAGGATGCTGATACGGTGTCAAGAACCTAAGTCACCACAAAACAGCTATGCGATGTCATCTCACCGAGGTCAGAATAGCAAAATGTATCAGAACAGCAAACATCAAATGCTGGCGAGGCTGCGGAGAAATTGGAACCCTTATTTGCTATTGGTGGGAGTGTAAAATAGTGCAACCACTATGGAAGGCTGTATGGCGCTTTCTCAAAAAGTTGCAAATAGAGATACCATTTGAGCCAGCAATTCCACTACTGGGAATTTACCCTAAAGACACCAGAACCGCTACCCAAGCAGATATATGCACACCCATGTTTATTGCAGCTTTGTTCACAATAGCAAGGAGTTGGAAACAACCTAAGTGCCCATCAACAAACGAATGGTTAGAGAGGCGGTGATGTATTCACACAGTGGAATACTATGCTGCATTGAACAACAAGAAACTCATGAAATGTTATTCAAAATGGGTGATCCAGTCACAAAAGGACAAATATTGCATAAGGCCACTGTTGTAAAACAGGACTGACATTGGGGTTGAGGAAAGACAGAGAAGGAGGGGAGGAGTGATGTATACTGCACTGAAACAGATGAGGGAGAGAACAGTTTAAAAAGGATATATGATTGTGCATTATTGTCATGATATGAGTCTAGAATGAAGGCTGCACAGTGGAGTGGAATTGAGGGGAGGGACTGCATAACAATGAAAGAGTTTTTCCTTTATTTTTTCAAGGGGAAGAGTGAATTGGGGTAAAGGGGGGGCAGGAGTGGGCAGGGAGAAAAGTGTAACAATGAATGAATGGAAACCCTAAGTCTCTGTAAACTTTCATTAAAATTAATTTAAAAAAAAAAAGAATCTAAGTCACCAGTGTCATTCAGTCATGTATAAATTGTGAATGAATGCCATCAAAAATGTCATTGTTAAAACTCCCAAAACTTAAGAATAAAATCCAAATAAACAACAACTTCTCAGGACTATTCTTTCAGAAAATGGACAAACAAGAAAAGGCACAAGGTTCTGCTCAAAGGGGGGGGAAATGTAGGACAGAAATTTAAAATTTTGGGTGCAACAATGAATGAATGGAATTCCAGAAATCTCTGTAGATGTTCATTGACATGAAAAATAAATAAATAAATTTATTTTTTAAAAAAATTTAAAATTTTTCAAGGAATTAAGATTTCCTGGGGCCGCTGAAGTGGAGGGATATCTGAACATGCTGAGATAAGTTCTAAGACTTAAATCAAAATGATCTCTGAAATATTCTGAAACTAAACAGATTAGTTTCACATCATTTAAGTACACACGATGATTACACAAGGGCGGCCCGGAGCACTGCTTTCTTTTAAGATCTACAGGCGCACTTTTTTCTTGCGCTTTCCTCCATTGTGCTTTGCAGATACTGCAATTTTCACAAACTGAAGGCCTGTAGCAAGCACACCTTGAACAAGTCTATTGGTGTCCTCTTTGCAACACCACGTGTTCATTTCATGCCTTCACATTACTTCTTAGCCATTCCTGTGATATTTCAGACCTTTTGACAATGTTATCACACACTTAAGAAGCTTGCTGACCTAATGAGCAGGGAGTTATGCTGCTATCACAAAGGTGGGTGGTTCAAACCCAGCAGCTGCTCCCAGAAAGCAGATGGAAAATCTCCAGTGCGATTTACACGCTCTGAAAGCCTGCTGGAGGATCAGCTACGAGCGGGTTCTGACTGAGTAGCGTTAAGCTGAGTGGATTGTACATTTAATAGCCTACAAAACTGCATAAACATCACTCTATTATGCCTAGGGAACTGGCTTCCTTCTGGTGGTCTGGGGCCAGACCTTCAATAGCAAGGGTATGCCCGAGTATGCAATCATATAGGTAAAAGCAATTCTAAAGATTAGCTCGCAAATTTGAGGAGCAGTGAGAGAAGAATTCAGAAGAGGTGAGAACTGTCACACGACTCAAAGAATGCCCACCTTAATTGGAGGCGCCAAAATTAATATATACTCTGTATATTCTCAATAATAAAAATAAAAGTAATTATCGGAAAGAAGACGAGACATGAGATCCTACAGAATTGGAATCATATAGATTCCATGGAATGGAAACCCTATAAAAAAGAAACTCAAAAGAGAAAAACCCTAACGAGAATCCTATCTCTATGGACCCTTTACTAGAGAAGAGAATAAAGGGGTTAGAGCAGTTAAAAGTAATTATGTGAAATTCAACTAGTTTCTCAAAAAAAAAAAAAAAGTAATTATGTGAAGCTGCGCTGCAATCCCAGAGGTATTGGTTTAAATCCACCAGATGCTCTGCTGGAGAAAGAGGGACAATCTCCTCCTGCACCTGTCAGATTCGATTTGACGGTACACACACACAAAAAGTAATAAATTTTTTTAAAAAAAGAAATTATATGATAAGGCAGAGCAGGGAGCATATCCGCTCTGCTCACTCTGAGCGGAACCGAGAACTCCAGGGACGCGTGCCCGGGGAGGGGGTTTACTTCGAGCCGAAGGCAACGTAATAAAACTACAACTCCCAGGAGGCCCCTGGGTTCCCGACCGGCCTCCTGCTTCCTAGCGCTCGCGCAATTCCTGCCGGGACACGTAGTCCCAGCCGCAGTCACCCCGACCCGGAAGGCCGTCCCCGCCCCCGCCGCCCGCCCTACCTCCTTCCATGTCCTCCGTCCAGTTGCGGGTATTACTCGCGGGAGAAGTGGGCGAGGTGTAGTAATCGCCGCCTGGGCTCGTGTCCACGTCATCCTCCATCGAGCCCGATTTGTGCCGCTTGCTCCTAAGGGACAAAGGGAGGAGGGCAGAGGTTCAAGTTCAGGGACACGGGGGGGGCGCGCGGGGGCCGGAAAGGGGGTGACATTTTAATTTCCGGCGCCGAGGGGGCGGGACCAGAAGGGCAGTATCGCGAGACAGTGCGGGAGCCCAGTGGGTTTTTCAGTTAACACCTGTTCCAGTGCTGGCATTGCTCCTTTAGGGTCACTTAAGGCCAGGGAAGGGGCAGGGCTGAGCCGAGATCATACAGCAAAACACGAGGGTGGAGACTAAAACCCGGCAACGAGGCTAATCACCTGGGCTACTGGAATCCTCAGAACACCCTATGGGGTTGTGGTTGTTGTTGATTGCCATCGAGCTGAGCAAAAGTCATAGCGACTCTATGAACAAAAGACCGAATGCCTTTCCATAGCTACCGCTGTTTTTCCAAGTTCATAGAGTTTCCAGAGGCATGTGACTTAGGAAGCGGATGCCACTCCTGCTTCCAAACCTGTTTTACAACGGGGAAGGTGGATAAGCTGAGTTACACCCAGCCACTCCGCATAACCTCATCAGGAACCAGCATCCACAGAGCCAGGCTGACAGGAGGCACTGGGGGCCAGGTTATGAAGGAGGTCTGGTTGTGCAGTGGTTAAGGGTTAGGGTGCTACCCAAAAGCCAGAATGCACCTGAAGGCTGTAGGTTTGAGTCAGATGGATGGATAGGAGTTTGCCAGGTGGACTGTGAAGGCGGAGGGAGGCATTTCAAGCAGATGGGTGACCCTGCTGGAGGGCTGCCGAATGCTCGGAGGTGGGGACCAGGGCACGTACCCACTGGAGGAGGTGCTGGGTAGCGTTCTTCTCATGCCGGTGCTGGCTGGGTTCAGGTCGTAGGCTAGGTGTCCCTGCAGCTCCCCCAGGGAGAAGTTAGGTCCTGTTCCAGTCACCACGGGTGCTGTGGAGGGTGACACGGAGGAGGAGAGTGAGGGCGGGAGCTGGACCCAAGGCTGGGGTTTTTCCTGGAGGAGCAGGGAGAGCCATCTGGCCAGGCAGAGGGAAGCCCTTTCCCAGACCAGCCTGTTCCTATTTTGGCTCAAGCTGGCTGGCCTTAATCCATGCATCAGAAAGCCAAGGCCATCAAGAGAGGCCAAGGTCGCACAGCGAGGCAGAAGTGTAGCCAGAGCTGAAGGCCATGATTCTGGCTGCCTCGGGCCGGGTTCTGCTGGTAGGACAGGCAGGGTAATGCCAGGGAGAAGGCAGGACAGTGTCCAGAACTCCCTAGAGTGGCACTTAAAACAGAGATATCTGGGAGTGTGGAGGGGGAAGAGGCAAAGGAAAGGGCATGGTGCTCTCTGGGGGCTTCATGAAGGCCCCTCCTCTTCTCTGCTGGCCTCCCCTCCCCATTTCCTCCCCCTTCCGCAGGACACAGACAGGACACTCACTCCGGGACACCTGGATAAGCTCCGTGACACTGAACACTCCCGAGGTGACGAAGCTCTCCTGGAAATCAGTCGTGTCTGAAAGGGGAGACAGGGGGGTCAGTAGGCTGGTCAGCTTCCCGCCAGACACCCAGACCCCAGGGCTGACACAACTTGGCTGTGTCACTCACTCTGCCCACCTGTGTGCAGGTCACAGGCGGGCAAGACCCTCAGTAGAGGAAGACCCTCAGTAGTGGGAAGGCCTTTCCTTGTATGGCCGGAGGGGAGTTTTTCTCTGAGTGTCCCTTAGTCATTCTGACGGCAATGACCCCCTAGGTCCTTTCCCCAAAGGCCCCCATGGTGGGTGCTTGTCCCGACACTGTGCCAGGCTACGGGAGCACACAGCCCATCAATCCACATGCAGATTTAGACTCTGACCCCTGTGCAGTGTGTCAACTTAGGCTTTCCCTCCTGAGCCTGGATCTGCCCTAAGTTCCAACTCAGGGACCAAGATGCTCATCATGGTGGGGTAGGGGCTGTGCCCTTGCTTTCCTCCCCTCACGGGACTGCCCGTCCCCCACTCCCCACTGTCTGCTGCATGTCTGTGCTGCAGCAAGCAGGACATGTACACTGTGGGGCTGACTGGCTGCTGGCCCCAGAAGCAGCCTGGCCTAGGTCAAAGGAAGGACCCTCCTCTGAGCTGTGAGGTTTGGACTATTTCATAGACTTGGAGCCTGCAAGGAGGAGAGGCTCGCAGCCCTGGCCCATCTCAGCCACCTGGAAGGGACCTGTGGTATCCACCCCCTCAGCAAACATTTACTGAGCATGTCAATCCTGAGGACAAAGGGGCAGGGTAGGCCAAGTGTCTGCTCTCGAGGGCTCTGTATTGGATTCCCCAGGACCTACAAGTCAATGTGAGGAGAGGCTTTGGTGGCAAGAGGGGAGGGGGTTGGGTGCCTGGAAGGAAGGGGGAAGCTACTGTCTCCAGAGGACTTAGGGAGGGTGGCATTTACACAGACATAGTTGAGGTGTGGTGGCTGGGAGGGACCAGTCCTTGGAGAAGGACATCATGCTTGGAAGAGTGGAAGGATAGCACAGGAGCGGAAGGCCCCAGATGAGATGAACTGATACAGTGACTGGGGCAATGGGAGTAGGTGTGTCTGAGTCAGTGAGACTGGCGCAGGACAGGGCAGGCTTCAGAGCTGTCGCAGGTTTTCTATGAACCACAGGCAACGTGATGGTGCACCACAGCAGACTGAGGTAGTGGAGGAGAGTGCTGAGTATCTAAATCTATCTCGGAGGAAGTGCAACCACAGTGCTCCTTACAGGTAAGGTGGTAACACCTGGCCCCACAGATCTTGGGCATGTGGTCAGGAGGAGGCTGGTCCTTAGAAAAAGGCATCATGATGGGAAGACTGGAGGGTCAGGGAAAGAGAGGAAGCCCCCTCAATGAGGGGGGGTGACACCGTGATTGCCACCAAGGCCTTGAGCCTGACGACGGAGATTGTTGGGGTGGTTCAGGACAGGGCAAAGCTCAGATTGTTGTTCACAGGGTCACTATGCATTGAAGTTAACCCAGCAGCACAGAACAACAGAAATGGTAAAGGGGTCCTGGGCCGTACATACGGCTTTCTGAAAAGCTGTTTTAAAGACCCGGACTCTGGCATTTTCCATTGCTTCATATGGATGTGAAAACTGGACAGTGAATAAGGAAGACGGAAGAAGCAGCGATGCCTTTGAACCATGGTGCTGGCAGTGAGTACTGTCCATCCCATGGACAGCCAAGAGGAACAGTGTGTCACAGAGGAAGTGGAACCAGGGTGCTTCATAGGCGCAAGGATGGTGCAACGGCATCTCCCCCAGCTTGGGCACGTAGTCAGGGGGTGTCATGACGCAGGGCACTGTAGAGGGTCGGCGGTGGAGAAGACCCTCAATGAGGCAGATGGACGCAGGGACAGCAACCATGGACGTGAGCCCAGCAGAGATGGAGGACGCAAAGCGATAAAGCACACAACCGATAAGGAAGGAGGGTCCCTGCCTGCCTCGGCTCTGCAAATCACGGGCACTCAACGCTACTAACCCAAAGAGTGTGTCTGAACTACCCTGCAGTAACGGAAGAAAGGCCTGGCAATCTTGAAGACTGTCACTCTTTGCTGTCGGGTCAATTCTACATCTGGGTGACCCTGTCTCTGCAGAGTGGACTGTGCTCCGTGCCAGCCTACTGGAAGTGGGTCACCAGGCCTCTATGTCTGGCCTCCTCTGGGTGGGTTCAGACAAATGGCCTGTCAGCTGGTCGTGGAGTGCTTAACTGTGCTGCCCAGGGATGGACTTCTTCCTTAACGATGACAATTAAGAAAGCCTGTGGAGTTCTCGGGAACACCTGGGGCAGCCACGAGTCAGCCTGACTCCCCAGCAGCACACCTGACTTTCTGGGTTCAGGTTGGCAGTGGTTGAGAAAGGCCCTGACAAAAATCTACACCAAGTTTTGCCACCTCCCTATAGGACACGGTGTTCCCGGGAGCAGAAGCACACATGCAAAGGCCCTGAGGCTGCAGTGCATTTGCTGAGTCACTGCTGCAGGTGGCTGGGGAGAGGGGGTCAGAGGGTTTTGAGGTGGGGGTGGCTGGAGCCTACAATGGACACCCAGCGGAGGGGAGAGCAGTTCCTCTGCCGGCCCCCAGGGGGCAGCACGGGCTGCAGGCATCTGGCAGTGACCCCCACCCCCACAATGTCCCCAGCTGTCCAGGAACCAAAGTCTCCCCACTTGGGGTTTTCATGTGCACACTGCTTATTGAGCAACTGCCATGTGCTTGACCCGGTGCGGGGAGGCTCAGGGCCACCACATGCCTGGGACGACAGGGCGGTGGCCCCCAGCATCCAGGGGAAGTGGCAATGGCCATTTCCTGCAGCCCCAGCTGGCCGGCTGGAGTCAGCAGCCCCGCGCCCTCCCCGCCGGGGCTTCCTGTTTGTGCTCCATCTCGGGGACTCCCTGGCTTCCTCTGGCCAGCCGCCCACACACCCCGCAGGGCCAGGCCCAGTGCAGACGCTGCCCCCACCTCCCCCCAAACATCTGGCTTGGAGGGCGGTGCCGGGGACTCAGGGAAGACTCAGGTCACAGACAGCAGGACGGATGCATCAGCGGGGGCCAGGAAAGCTTCTGGAACCATCCGGCCTCCTTCCAACAGGCTGTCCTCCCTCACTCGCTTTTTCTTCCTTTTTTATCTCTCCTCCTCCTTCCCCCTGACCTCTCTCTTCTCTCTGCCTTAACCTTTCCCTCTCCCTTTCTTCCTGTAAACATTTAAGGAGTTCACACCCCACACACAAGTCGTAACAGAGTGGAGTGGAGATGCCAAGAACACAGCAATGACACAGACAATCCCTGCCCTCCAGGAGCTCCATCCACACGGAGGGAGGGGCACCAGCAGAGCAAACCCACAGGCTGAAAGGAAAACAGGTGACTGCCCTGCAGTGCAGCCTGGGCTTCCCTGTGCTGTGCCGTCCTTGAAACGGGCATCTGATCTGAGACCGGGGCTGATCTGGAGAGGTAACAAGCAGGAACAGGCCAAAGGTACAGCCCATGCAAAGGCCCTGGGGCAGGACTGGCCTGGCAGTGGGAGGAACAGAGTGAGAACGAGGAGGAGGGGAGGGACTGGGGACCCAGGCAGGGAGGAGCCTTGGATGACAGGGCAGAAGATTGAACCCAGACTCAGGGGCTCCCGGGCGCCCTCTGGCTGTGGTGAGGAGGACATGGTGGAGGTGGGGAGATGAGACCAGGTGAAGGCCACCACACAGGTCTAGGGGGGATGCTGATGCTGGACCAGGGAGAGGTGTGGTCTGAGCTGCACATCTCTGCCCTTCCTGTGCTCCAGGAACATCCTCCCACCTGCTGCCCGAACCGCAGTCTCTCTGCCATCCAGCATCCTCTGGGACCTGCGGGGTGACTCCTGAGAAGCTCTCCCTGGGAGCTCGCTTTTCAAACCCCAGCTCCACCCAGAAAAGCCCCTGAGCCTCAGTCTCCTCATCTCTACAATGGGAGCATCAGCAAGTTCTATGAACTAGAGAAATTCACTACATATTCCCACAGGGCCTGGCGGGAGCCAGGTTTGCTTTAAAAAAAAAAAAAGGGAGGAGGCTGCGCCCCTGCCCCTGGTCCTTCCCCAGACTCACCCAGTGTGATGGGCTTGCTGTCCTCCTGGTCTGAGCCCATGCCCGTGCGGGGGCTGCCGCCCTGCTCAGAGTCTGCAAAGAGAAGAGGGAAGAGGTGGTGACAGGCAGTCGGGAGAAGACTCCACGTAACTCGTAAAGATCCCACGTAACACAGCAGAGCTGCCCACGGGGTTTCCTGCACAGCAGTGTTTACGGAACTTAATGGCCAGGCCTTTCTTCTGGGAGTCGCTGCTGGGTTTGAACCACCAACCTCTCTGTTTGCAGCCTGATACTTAATCTGTGCCATCAGGGCTCTCAGAGGAGACAGAAGCATCAGTGTTGGTGGACAAGCCATGGCCCAGGAGGTGGGCTGGGGTAAGGTCACGGGCCCCAGCGTGTATGTGCACACCTGCTGATAGGTGAACACACATGGCCTCATGGGGCACACCCATGTGCACCGGCAACCTTCCTATTAGTCATGGGAAACGCTCAGGCCCAAGAGTTGGGACCCAGACTGGGTAACCTTGGGCAAGCCACTTCCCACCTCTGAGTCTCTACTTGCCCATCTGTGAAATGGGGAGACTGGGTGCTGTCACCCTGGGCGGGAGGGGCTGCCATCACAGCCACCTCATGGGGAGAGAAGGACCAGGCAGGTGAGTGCTTGCACCCCAGGGCCCCTCCCCTCGGGCCCACACCGCCCCCCCCCAGCCCTTGGTGTGGCATCCTGAGTCCACTCAAGGGTGCAGCTGCGACCCCCGCCTGCCTGCCTGGCACAGGGCTCCCCCCCATGCGGCGCCCGCCCTTGCATCTTATCTAAAAATAATCAGACTCCTTGGCGGTCGGAGAAGCAGACAGACGCTGAGCTCAGCGTTATCGGCTGCAGCAGCCAGGATGGAGGGGGCGGGGCCGGGCCCTCCGCAGCCCCCTCCTCCACCCTGGGCTCGGGGGGGCAGGGCCAGGCTGCTGGGTAGAAACCCCCCAACCTCCACACTGTGTGTCCCATGGTCATCTTCCAAGGGCAAAGAGAATCAGACCTCCTAAGTCATGGTGAAATCCGTGTGACCTCAGATAAGGAGCGAGCCTCAGCTTTCTCCTCCTCAAAATGGGCCAGCACCGAATCATGACAAGGAGCCCTGCCCGCCCAGTGCGCATGGAGATGGCGGAGGGCCAGCAAGGGTTCATCCCGTCACACACAGTGAAGGCCGGCCAGCCAGCCCCTCCACAACCAACAAAACAAGCCTCGCGTTTGGCGCAGCTGCTGTTCCCATTTTCCAGGCAAGCACAAGTGAGGGCGAGGATGATGAGAACGGCGCAGGCACCACTCTGCCCATTTATCCGCCCCTTCGTGGGCTCTGTGCATGACCCAGAGTCCCTCCACAGCCCCAGAGCCTCTGGGATCAGATGCCTGAGTTCGGATCTGGCTTTGCAGCTCCCAGACTCGCTGAGCCTGGGCCAGGACTCAGTTTCTTCATCTGTAAAATGGGCTTGACAATAGTGGTCGCCCCACAGGGCTGCGATGAGACCCTCTCAACACCGTCTTCTGAAGAGCTCTCAGGATTATCATGTTCACATGGCACCAAGCTGGTGGCTTTGCACCTGCACACCCCACATGTGGGGACCCGCTGCCCACCTCCCCGATGGTATGGGAATCGGCACCAGGCTACACTCTGTGCCTCAGTTTCCTGGTCCCTGATGGCACAGTGGGGCTGTGGTTCCTCGCCCAGCCCAGCAGGGCTGGCTGAGCTGAGCAGGGCTGGGTAGTGGCCGAGAGGAGCATGCCCGGCTTGGCCCAGTACCCTGTGGGCACTCCTGGTCTGGGCACCAGTGCCCTTCAGAGCTGGCCAGTCCCGCTTGGACAGCTGAGTGTCTGGGCATGGTGGCCACTCCATTGGGAAAGGCCCAGGTCAGGCAGCCAGCCGCTCGGGCTCCAGGCCGCGGGCACAGGACCCTCTTCCGGAACATGGTTACAAAGGGCACTAGGGCACTTCCTCAGGGTGGACAGATGGGAGGACCAAGAAGCAGCGGGTGTTTCCTGAGCACCTACTATGTGCCAGGCCCCCGCAGTGGTTTGGTTGGTTGGCCTCAGCTCTCACCGTGCCTCCTTCACCCTGCCTCCTCCTCTTCACCTGTGGAATGGGTACAACATCCCTGAAAAGGCCCTGAGGCTGGACCTTGAAGGCTCTTCCCTCAAGAAATATGCTAATAAGGGCAAGAGGTGCCCAGAATGATGTCCCTGGCTCGCAGTAAACACCCACCACGCAGGGTTGTTGGTACTAATACTATATCCTGACTACTGGTGTTGTCTGTGGCTTTGTTAACTCTGTATCAGCTCAGAGCAGGGCCCTGGGGCCCCGCTGGCCAGCCTGGAGTCTGGAGTCCTGATCCTCTTCTCTGTCCACTCCAGGCTCTTGGGCCGGCTGTGCTTTTTTGAGCCTCAGTTTGTTCATTTGCAAGATGACAACGACACCCACCACCCACCCATTTCCTAGGTTTGCCGGGTCACTTAAAGCCAGCTCGTGAGAAGTGAGCCTTGGTTTCTTCATCTGTATAATGAGGCAGATAACTGAATTCAGCTCCCAGTTTGCTGCGTGGCCCGAGTCAGGTAAGAAGAGGAAGGTGCTTGGTACCAAGTCCACACTTGGATTTCTTTTTCCCTTGGGATTTTTCTAGCTGTAGCGTTACGCCGTTTGCACACAGGGCAGTGTTAGTTCTGTGAGCCTTTGACTGCGTTCCATGTTGTGCTACAGTGGCTGGGACGGTCTGTGGACTTCAGGGGTGGCACACGCATGCGCATGGCAGCTCATGGAAAGCTTGGACGTTCACATTACCTAGAAGTGCCATGGAAGAAAGGCCTGGCGATCTCCAGCCAAAAACTCCACCAAGGGGCTCCATGAGGGAACCCCATGGACGGGGTCACCGTGAGTCCATTCAACCTGACGACACCAGGCAGCTTTTCAGAGCTTCCAGGGCTGTGGGGAGAGCTGGGGGGTGGACACCCAGCCTCGTCCTCGGCTGGAGGACAGTCCGCAGACACATGCCGTCATGTATGATGCTATGGTCAGTTGGTGTGGGTGCCCTTTGTCTGGGTAAGAGAACTGGTGTTTTTCCAAATCTCCTGGGCATTCTTGTTCTTTTAAATCATAAACGAGCATTGGGTAAAATGGTCATTTAAAAATAGCCTGATGCTGCAATTATCTGCCATCTCAAATTTAATCGTCAGCAAAACCCGGGGGGAGTCTGCATCCGCCTGCTGGCCAGTGGCCTAGCCTCGGCTGAAAACTGCATCTTCCTGAAGGCCGCTGTCCACCCTGGGAGCTGCTAGCCATCAGCGGTGGTTTTGTGTAAACAGGTGATAATGCAATTATACGTGAAATGGCAATGCATGGTCACCCCTGGGGTCAGGGTACCCCTGCGGTCAGGGTACCCCTGGAGTCAGGACCATGGCTTCAAGGTGAGGTATGGAGCCTCTACTTTCTAATCTGTGAAGTGGGTTAGCATGGCCAGGCCCCAGGGTCTCTGTGAGGGTTCAAGAGAAAATCTAAGAGCATGAAACAAAGGCTCATTAAAAGGTTAAATGGAGCCTGTGGGGATTAGAAGCCAGCCTGGCGGAAGCTCATCCTGCTGCTTTAACTCAGGCTTCCTCTACCCCAGCTCTGCTGACCTGGGGGGACCATCCTGTGCCCTGCAGGCAGGAGCAGCACCCTTGGCCGCCCACTCAATTCTGGTAGTCACACCTGCCTCCAGCTTGTGACCATACGGCTGAACCCGGGGCTCCCGGGGGTGAAACGAGGCTACGGCACAGAACTGTCCACGTCCAGTAACCAGTACTTGGGAAGGCCTTTGACTAGAACGGGCTGCAAGTTTTACCTCCACTGACTTATTTCCTTTTCTGGATGGGATGGACTGACACAGTAACTAGAGTGATGGGATTAGGTGTCTCAGAGTCAGTGAGACTGGCTCAGGATAGGGCTGGGTTCAGAGCTATTGTTCATAGGGCCTCAATGAGTCAGAGGCAACTAGACATCACACAACAGCAATAACAACAAACAAGGAAGGATGGATCCTGGCTGAGTGCAGAGAATACTAGAAGATGCCTGATTTGCACTTACCGCCTATGCAAAGGTATCTGACTGTGCGGACCATCACAAGTTACGGCTGACGTTGAGAACGGAAATCCCTGAGCACTCGACTGTGCTCATGCGAAACCTATACCTAGACCAGGAGGCTGCTATGTGACCAGAGCAAGGGAACACTACATGGTTAAAAATTAGGAAAAGTGCCCATCAACAAACGCATGGATAGAGAAGCTGTGGTATATTCACACAATGGAATGCTATACTGCATTGAAAAACAAGGAACTCATGCAATAGTATTAAAAATGGGTGACCCTGGAAGACATTATGCTGAATGAAAGACCTCAGTCACAAAAGGACAAATACTGCATAGTGCTACTGTTGTAAAACAGGACTGACATCGGGGTTGGGGGGAGACTGAGAAAGATGGGATAAATAATGTATACTGCATTGAAACAGATAAGGGAGAGAACTGTTTAAAAGGGATATGTGATTAGGAATTACTGTCATGACAGGAGTCCAGAAAGAAGGCTGCACAGTGGAGTGGACTTGGGGGGTGGGGTTGCATAACAATGAAAGAATTTTTCTTTTACTTTTCAAGTAGAAGAGTGAATTTGGGGGGAAGGTGTGGGCAGGGAGAAAAGTGCAACAATGAATGAACGGAAACCTTAAATCTCTGTAAACTTTCATTTAAATCAATTAAAAAAAAAACTAGGAAAAGTGTGTGTCAGGGTTGTTTCCCTTCTCCACACCCACTTAATCTGTTTGCTGAGCAAATTATTCAAGAAGTTAGACTCTCTGCAGAAGAATGTGGCATCAGGATAGGAGGAAGACTCCTCAGTAGCCTTTGGTATGCAGATGACACAACTCTGAGGAGGACTTGAAGCGCTTGCTGCAGAAGATTACACACTGTGGCCTTCACATGGATGGCGTCTCAGCATCAAGAAAGGACAAATTCTCACCACTGGACCAATAGGCAGTATCGTGACAGATGAAGAAAGTGTGGAGACATCAACTACT